GCACCTGGTGTATAAACTGCCTGTTCCAAGTTGCAGTGCGCAAGTTCCAGGTGCGCAGCACCTGGTGTATAAACTGCCTGTTCCCAGTTGCAGTGCGCAAGTTCCAGGTGCACAAGCCGTTCCAGGCTGCAGAAGTGAAGTTCCAAGTGTGCAAAATGTTATAGGGTGCAGACATTCCGGTGCACACCTTTTTTCCAGGATGCACAATTTATCCTCAGAATGGAAAGGCCCCAGGACCATAAGGCCCTGTATCTCTGCTACAGTACTTGCTGCAGTAACTGCTGGCTGCGATAGTAACTGCTGCAGCAACTGCTACAGTAACTTCTACAGTAACTCCCGCAGTAACTCCTGCAGTAACTCCTGCAGTAACTCCTGCAGTAACGGCTGCAGTAACTGCTGCAGTAACTCCTAGGAATCTCAGTACTTGCTGCAGTAACTGCTGGCTGCGATAGCAACTGCTGCAGCAACTGCTACAGTACTTCTACAGTAACTCCTGCAGTAACTGCTGCAGTAACTCCTGGGAATCTCAGTACTTGCTGCAGTAACTGCTGCGGTAGTAATGGCAGCAGGAACTGCTACAGCTGCTATAGTAAGTGCTGTAGCAGTTCCTGCTGCATTAACTTCTAGTAATCTCAGTACCTGCTGCAGTAACTGCTGCAGTAATAATTGCTGCAGTAACTGCTGCAGTAACTGCTGCAGTAATTGCTACAGTAACTTCTAGTAATCTCGGCGTGTTTGCCTCCGTTGAATGAAACTCTCCTTTCTCAGTTGACATGGAATCATCGATGTTTGACTGCATCCAAGTTTACCTTCCGCGACTGCAGCCCAGCCTCTCTCTTTAGTGAGATAACACCTAGAAAGTGGTTGCAGTCGAGCAGCATCTCTTCACCGACATATTACTGCAGTTACTGCAGTTACTGCAGTCACTGCAGTCAAGCATTTCATTTCCGTGATGGACAGCATCTCTCATCACTAGCTCATGCGCGCAATACGACGGAAAGGAGCTGCTCAACTGCAGTGACTTTTCTAGTAACCTCCGTAAGTTTCTTTGTGACTTCGTGTAACTGGACAGTTTGAACCCTCGGTAAGTTTTGACTGTGACTTCGTGTAACTGTCATTGCGCAGTTGAGATGGTCGAGAAGCCCCCCTAACCTCATTGTATCGATCTGATTATTTAAGGATTTGAACTCAGGATCTGTTCATCAGGAGTCCCATGGTATACATGCCTTCATTCCTTTGTTTTTTTTTTCTTCTTAAGGGAAAAAAAAAAAAGGAACAAATTGCTACGACTTCTCCTTCTTCTAAATGATCAGGTTCAATGAACTTCTCACAGCACCTCCAGCGGCAAACCGCCGGGATCACCGCGATCCCGACTCTTCACCGGACCATTCAATCGGCGGTCGGCACGACCGGCGGGTGTGCACCAAGGGCAGCAGGCACGTGATCAAAACCCCAGCTCAGATGAAGTGTGAACGGATCAGAAAATACAAAAAGGGGGCCGGGGGGAAAGAACCTTTCGAAGCGGAACACTCTCCAGAACCAATCGCAACCGACCGATTGCAGTCGATAATCGCGGTTGTAGGCAGGCAGCGTGAACTTGTTTCCGGGCTGGCTCAGGGTCAAAAAAAAAAAAAAAAAAAAAAAAAAAAAAAAAAAAAAAACGATTTTGATATTTAATTCTCTTTTGGAACAGATTGATGACAAGGGACTTACAACGTTGGGCCTCGCAGCACTACACTGTCCAAATGTGGAAAACGAGAGTGAATCTTCCGCTACAACATGGAAAGATACACTGCCATGAAATTTGTCGTTTGTGCATGTAGTGCAGTAGTGGAGCGAGGACCAGTGGAACGTGGAACAACAAAAGAACGGAAAACGGAACGCGGGAAAAAGGTCTGTTCATGCCGCAACTCAAGGGATAATTATAAAAAAAAAAAAAAAATCCTCATCGCCAAATGCGAACAGGATAAGGGGGGAAAAGGAAGGACAAAAGAAATCGGTATAATACAACACAGCAGATAAAAAAAAAAAAAAAGAGCAACGTCATCGTCAAATGGGGACAGCAGAAAACAGACAATCGAGTCATCATCATCAGATAGAAGTCTCTCGCGCAAGATAGGGGACAGATCATCGCGAAGGACATACTGGTGATCACATCATGTTGGCAGCTGCTGAAGGAGGAGGAGGAGGAGGAAGGGTGCGAGAGGGAGAGAGAGAGGTGGAGAGAAAGAGAGAGAGAGGAAGGGGAGCACTGAAGGTCACAAACACTCGAGATTCGAACACAGAGAGACGCGGGAGCCTTCCTTACGGCAGAACAGAGACCAGGAGGGTATCACATAGGCGAAATCACGACACACAAGAAAGAGCAACTAGAAAAGAACGTAAGAAGAAGAAGAAGAAGAAGAAGAAGAAGAAGAAGGTGCAGGAAAGGACGAGGAGGAAGAGGGAGGGAGAGGAAGGGAGGGGAGGAAGAGGAGGAAGAGGAGGAAGAGGAGGAAGAGGAGGAAGAGGAGGAGGAAGAACACGAAGAAGAAAGAGGGTGAATGGATGCTACAGACGAGAAGACGTCAAAATAGAGACCTGGGACATGGATACGGAAATGCAATTGTCCTGCGCGTCAACAATTCCAGCGGGAATAGCCCCACGTGGCCCGCTACCGAAGCGTCGGTTAGCTTCTCCAACCCCACCACAGGCAGACCCCCACTGCGAACTCACGGCCGCTGTTGAGCAGGAAGCCGGGACCCCCCCATCACGCCCCCCCCCTCTCCACTCTCTTGTGCCTGCGCTTTCGCCGTTCCGGCTGGTCGACAGCGCGTGACAAACTGCTGCGGAGCGCGCGGACAGCACGTGGCAAACGGCCGCGGTACTCGCCGCCGACGTCATCGTGATTCTCTCTGTGCCACTTGGAAGAAGAAGCTCGGCCCGCTGCTCGCAAGCAGTCACGGCACCACGGCGAGCGAGCGATGGATGACGCGCGCGCCGGCGCGCCGGCAACTCTCTTCCAGGGGATATACCCTCCAGCCTTGCCGCATACAGGGCGCGTTCCCTTTTCGGACGTGGGGAGGGGGGGTACGGCTCCGCGAACAGCTGCCCTTTTTTTTTCGCCATTTGTTTTTTTATTATTTTTTTTGAGAGAAAGTCTGTCCATTTTATTATCAGGTAGACAAAAGAGGGCCGGGAATCCCTCACAAACAACTCGGTGAAACCAAAACAGTTCTGGGGCCATTACCCTGTTTAAGGCTCCTGGGAACGGGGCCCAATGTCCCCTGACGTCTAAGCTCTCAAATGAAAAAAGTAAGATGGGGCTTATCCCCAGAACACCCCCTGCACTCTGAGACATAGGTCTATCTATTCTTCTACCTAAGCTACTTCCTTTCTAGGGGGGGTGGCTAATACGCTCCCCAAAACCTAGAGGGGACAGCAGCCAAGGACAAAACTGCAGTCGGTCTTTCAAGTCAAGCTTGAGCAGCTTGTTGTCTCTTCCCCATGTCTCATACAACCATTTCCCGGCAGAGGTCGTGCTATGTGCTCTTTGTCTTCGTCTGATCCAGTCACTTGTTATGATGAGTAGAATCTGTTGAGTGATCAATGTCTTTATTGCAGCATCTGACTTATACTCCCTTCTATGAGCCACATAGAACCACTCTTTCTCTTCCGGTTTCTCCGAATGATGGATGCCCGAAACAATCCATTTGTCACTCCAATCGAACTTCTTCTGCGTAAGTCGATCCCAGTGCTGGATGAACCAATTTCATATTCTACGCGAGGCTGGACAAGTTAGCCAAAGGTGGCGGTCATTCTCCCACATCCAGTTACACCGGATACACCTTTCCGAGATTTGCATTCCTCTTTGAGCTAAATTAACCGCTGATGAGGATGTCGAAAAGAGCTGCGTCCATAACAGGCTAGCCAATTTCTGAGAAGGTAGAGCTTTGAATTGCTGACATAATGAAAAGAACTGAGTAGAAGACAGTGCCAGCAAATCATGTTCCTGTCTCCGTTTGATGATGGATTGGCAGGGCGGTTTCTTAGCTTTACCTCTCAGGTAAGTCGTGCCAGTTTTTGACGAGTACTCGTCCAAGTTTACCATCTTTTGTCCAATCTCCCATCCAATTGTACGAAAGTCAACAACGGTTTTTTTCAGGGGAATAACTCCCTAAGGGAGCCTCGCAACTTTAATCAGTGTCCCACCAGCCGGCACTTTCTTTGTTGACTGTGCAACTGCCACTTCATTCAGATCATCCAGGGATTCCAATCTCATTACTGATCTGGGTGTCAGTTCTCTAGAGAAACTAAAAGTATCCAGCATTATCCATTCCCTTGCTGCGTAACCATCTGTATCTAGATCATCTATAATTTGGTATATCATTCCTGCTGGGTCTTGGTTGGATATGCACCACAGTCCTTCTTCTGGGATGCTTTCACTCAGCAGACAGTTCTTCCATGACCAAGGTATTGCGTCAATCAAGGCCTTTAGTCTTTCCCCTACCATTCTCA